AGTGGATGGGTGAGTGGGGCGGGGCTTGTTTGTTTAGTGGAGGGTGAGTGGGGCGGGGCTTGTTTGTTTAGTGGAGGGGCGGGGCTTGTTTGTTTAGTGGAGGGGCGAGTGGGGCAGGGCCTGTTTGTTTAGTGGAGGGGCGAGTGGGGCGGGGCTTGTTTAGTGCAGCTGTTAGCAACTATGAAGGTAATCAGATCCAGTTATACGTAGTCCCACATTAGGTTTACAAGTGGAGCACTGGTCATAAAACCAGTCTTCCTAACGTGCGTTCACATTTTCTATTCTCCTCTTTCCAGCTCTGGGCTGCACAGAGGTGCAGCAGGTGCTAAATAATTTAAAATAATTAATTTTAAATAAAAATGTCCTGCCGATCGTGCGGCTCATCCATCAATCAGTCAGTTGTGTGTAGGAGTAGTGAAGGCCTGCTGTGCATACCGGGGTAAATATAACTTAAACAAAGAAACACCTTCCTGGTCCATGTTTAAACAGTGACGTACGGTGAAGGTCTAATTAGTCTCCACCACAGCAGAGTTTACTTTACTTTGTAAAGAAGTAAATATTTCAGACAATTGATTTCACTGAGGACAACAAAGATAACGTTCCCGATATATTTGACCTCTACGTTAGATTTATTGTTCTGCATAATGTTTTACAAGGCAATAGCCTATGCTAGGTTATCTAAACGTTAGCTTGCTAACTCGAGAGGCACGTAACTAATGACACGCAGGTCGGAGGATTGAAGAGGATTCCTTGTTGGTTTATTTATTTATTTATTTATTAAGGGCAGCTGTGGCTGAGTGGTTAGAGCAGTCGTCCTCCAATGCGAGAGTTGGGGGTTCGAATCCACCAGCAGTCACATGCTGAAGTGTCCCTGGGCAAGACACTGAACCCCTCATCGCCTCTGATGTGTGTCCCATCAGTGTCTGAATGTGATAAAGCTCTGATTAGTCTCTTTAGAATGATTTGTTCAATTAGCTTTGTAGAGATCTAGTATAGAGCTGTATGAATAGGTGAATGAGGCACAGATTGTTGTAAAGCACTTTGAGTATCTTGAAATAAGATAGAAAGGTGCTGTATAAGTACAGTCCATTTTACAGGTCAGTTAAAATAAACTCACCTTGCTCTTTTCAGTAAAATACTCTACACAGTACTGCTCACAGTGAACGGCCATGACTGCGCCCTCTGCTGGATACGTTGGTCAATTACAGCTGGTTCCAGCATTTAGGGGTGAAATTACAAGTGTCAGAAACTGAGACAATAATCTGATGATGGATGATAGAATGATGATGGATGATAGAATGATGATGGATGATAGAATGATGATGGATGATAGAATGATGATGGATGATAGAAT